ATTTCCATGACTCAGATTTTCCAACCTGCCACATGATGTAACCTCTAACTGTGCACTATGACGACGTTGGGGGTGGGGGGGTGGGGGGTGGGGGTGGCAAACACTATTCTCCAAGATTAGAATGGCTGTTGCAGAATACTAAGTAACTATACAAACGCCACGGTCGTTTGGATATCAAAAGATCTACCCTGCACATTGTATGAGAAACTGTAGCCCACAAGCTTCCGCAACAAAGTAAACATGTGCAAACAAATGTGCACTGAAGTTGAAGGTTTGATAAGTTTGTTTGCGACCTACTAGGGAAAGAATTTATCCTGAGGGCCCTTTACGGTGTCCGGTTAGTGATATCTCGTGCAAGGTGTGCACTGTGCAGAATAGAACCGCTGCATTGTGTAGTATTTCTCAACCGCAAGACGACAAATAAGTTACCTATAACTATGCTTCACTTGTGACCTTGTGTTTGCGTGAAGGGCTCGGTTGCAAAGCATCATCCGGGAGGGGGGAGGGGATAAGACTGGATAAAAACCAAATGCTGAAAAGATGGCTTGAACATACAACAGCGTCGCTACATTATGATACTCAAATATAGGTTAAGGTTGAGCACGATTTCTGTAAAAAGGGGTCTAGATTCCCTATTTACGGGGGGCGGGGGAGTTGAGCCCGAGGGTAGGTGGCCCTCAGTATAGGCGGACGAAATTTTTTTGGCCACCGAATTAGAAGGAAACCGGCTAACGACCCGACATTTAGTCTGGGTCCCAGGGTAAGCAGACACATGCCGCATGAAGCAATGCAGAAAACAAACGCAGAAAACAATCTCCGACTAAACAATCATTCTATAGCTATACGAGTCAGATATAGTCGATAGTGTAACATGCATGTTGCCACATTTAATGGATAGGGACCCTGATCATAATGTATCTCACTCTGATCATGCACCCCTCCCTCCCCATTCACAAAACTCACACGTTACTACAAACACAGGTGACAGTTCAGTGCCTCACAAACAATGCAAAAGTCCCCGTACATGTCGTGAGAAAATGACCCGAGTCTCACCTGTTTATTGTTACCGTTGCTGTGTTCTTCCACTTTACTCTTCCCCTGAATCACAGTTCCCGATTTTGCGTCCGACTCACTCTGATGACCGACAACCAGGAAACGCCGAGGGAAACTCGGGGTAGCCGCCGTTTTAAGGAACCCACCGTCACACCCCCGCTGGACCGAAAGAAAAAATGTCTCAAGATCTAAAAGCAGTCGCTGCGTCTTGTGCCGGGGAATCCCGGATGACGCCGGGGTTTCCAAACGCCAACGCCATGTAGAAACTCCGTCACTTCCGGGTGGGCGGTACCACTCTGCTCCGAGGGGGAGAGCTGACCTTTTCGCTGAGGTCAATGATGGGGACTTTCTGTTACTCTCCAAGCAGAGGTGTAGGCTTTGATTTACTGCATTTTGGGCGTGTTTTAGGAGATTTTATCGGGCTCTCTTTCTCGTACTGGTATCTTTTTTTAATGCCAGTCTAACTCGGGTAGATAATTGCAACTGTCTGCGGCAAATGGAAACTCTCTTTGCAGCCACCAAAAGATCTGCTTGGAGATTAACATTAAATTCCAAGTTGTACCAGATGTTGGACTAACAGGCCAAAACAGGAAAGAGATTAACAAAGAAATCATATGTGGATAAGGTCTCAGATAAAATCTAGCTGGAGCGGAAATATTACAGTGCAAGCAAAGAAATTGCTTTCAGCACTTGTTCAGAATGTTGTTTTGTTCCTTCTGGTTTCAAATACGGTAAATTTTGAAACAAACTTTAGTCTTCCGATATCTACCCTTTTAGATCCCAAAATAACACAGCATCACGAGAAAGCTTTTAATTCAATGAAGAATTTATTGGCTTCACATCTTGATTGACCCAGGCTGTTCAAAATCAAATAAGAATTGTCTTTATCATCTACTGTATTTCCTTCATTATTTGTTCCGTAATGGCTAGCTAAGGGCATTGCCCTTTTAATTCAAGTGGCTCTAATAATGTCTACCGCTTTCGGTGTGTTTTCGCCTTCTTTTTTCTCCTTATATGGCAATCCTCTGGTGTCCACAATGAAATGATATTGACAATTTGTGATAAGACCAAAGTTTACCACAAACAAAAAGAACAAACAGACGGAAGTCCACACCCTAAATGTCCTGGAATTTGGCCCCTTACCGTGTCCTAGAAACCTCCTTTCCGGGACATGTTTGTCCAGAGTTGGACAGGTGTGGTAAAACTGAGGATCACGTTGTTGATTTTTAAACGCAATGACCATTATTCATTCCAGGAAGCTATTCTGCATAAACACTCTTCTTGCCGTAACATACCAGCTTCACAAACTGATAATGTTATCTTAGTTATGTAGTGGTGATGTCAAAAGGATGTTGTTTATGGGGCTGGTTACGGAGCCATAGTGTAAGACGTACTGTCAGCTCTAGTGGGACACGTGAAAAGGTGTAATATTGACGCCTCCTGCCGGATTCGATGAATATGACACATACTGGTGCCGTATCTCAAACACACGCACACACACACACACACACACACACATACATACATACATACACACACAGACACACAAACACACTCACAAACACACTCACAAACACACGCACAGAAACTATTTCAGGAAATAAAACAAAGATCGTGTATTGTTTTCATTGATTCACTCGACGCGTTTTCGGCCATGTATGTATATACATTAATTAACGGAATAATCAATTGAAACCTTATACTAGCATCATGCAAATCACCATAGAAAGCCTACTATATACATGTTCACCACCATTTGTTTTCCACGACTTACGCAAAATAAGATTAATATGAAAAGCCATTTATGTATTTCAACTCATCGATGTCACAAATCAATCTTCTGTGTCATTGTTAACATTCCTTTAGCCAATTCTGCAGTTTCCTATAACTATAAGATGTATATAGTGTTCTCGATCGTGTTTTGGATATCAGTTTTGCTCAGTTTGTCCTTGTCAGCAAGCATCAAGTGCACACTGCACACTGCGTACTGCAGGATACTTATCGGTAAAAAGAGTTAGACAATCCCGGGATCCCCTACATAAGATAGTCTGTTTGTCTAACGTGAATATAATTTGATGCCATATGAGCTCTATAGCAGATGCATCGCGTAATACTTTTCCCGTGACGTGTACAGTCGTATCTTTGCTATTTACAGATGCCGCAAGCGATAGCAGAAAATGTTTGATAATTGTTTAGCACATCTTTTCCTTTATATTACCCACTTCACGTTTCTAAAATACAATACACCTCGTCTTAAGGAAAATCGTAGCTACGTCTTTGTGCCTTTAAAAATGACTACTGAGGAGGAGAGACTGGGGGAAACTTTGGCAACGCCTCAGGCACGGAGACAATTTCTAACTGTGTGCACTCTTTTACATTTCTAAATTCTATCTTTTGCGACGCATGTTTTAGCTCGTGGGAAAATTTGGAGGCTGTGGAGAGTCCTGCTGCAGCGTGAGGCTGGTCATGAGTTCTTCCAAGGCTTTGATGACCTGGTCTTCGGGGTTGGAGCGGGAGAGGGGGTCGTCCCGGAGCGGGAAGGACTGCGCGGAGCTGCTGTCCTGGTGGCGGTACTGGCTCACGGTGTTCAGGTGCGTCGCCGCCGTCAGCTGCTGCACCGTCACCGCGATCAGGTTACTTTCGAAGGGGTCTTCCGCCCCCCAGGACTGCCCGAAGCACATCTTGAAGTACGGACGCGGCTTCTTGCTGCCGATGTTGCGCGCGTAGTTCTGCAGAAGGGGCAGGAAGCCGAGGATGAAGTCGAAGACTTTGGTGGGGGTGTCCCGTTCGAGCTTCAGGGGCAGCGCCATGTCGGGTTTGTTGGGATCGAGCCAGAAGACTTTGGTCTGGCACAGCCGGGTGGCCCAGATGTCACCGTTAGAAAACTGCAGGACGACGCCTCTCTCCGCGTGCTTCAGGAGTTCGCTGGTCACGGCCAGTTGCTTCGAGGAGTGCACGTGGCCTTCACACGGCGGCAGGAGGACATGGGTCGCCTCGTCTGGTCCGTACAACTTCTGGTGGTCTCCTTGGATCATCTTAACGAGAAGGAAGGATCAAGATAAAACTCGCTGACACAGACGTGTAAAGTGTTTTACGAATTATTTGGCAACTTCTGAGACGATAACTATAGAATGACTACGTATACGAGCCCTTTTTGGTTGCTATACTTGAGTAGATTGATATTTGTCTGCTATACTTGCTATATCTCCTCTCTCTCTGTCTCTTTCTCTAACTTAATCTATATCTCTCTACATATAAGCTTATACTCTTTATCTTACAATAGCATAGACATCTCCTGCCCCTCTGATACCTTGCCGTTAATTGTTTAAATGGACTTCAATTAAGAGCCTACCTGGCGACCGACTAACTCCTTGATAGGCGAGCCGTGGTAGATCCGCACACCTCTGGGGTTACTGCAGTTCTCCTCCCACACCTGTCTGCCCCGGTACTTCACATTAACAGTCACGTCACCATCTAGATGGAAGGCAATCAAACACAACATCATCATCAGTCTCCGACTGTTCCTCATCTGTCGACAAGTGGGCCATGACTGCTTTCCATACGAATGAAAACTATCCAGATGTCAGGAGAGAATGACTGGCTGAATAAAACAAGGAGTGACGAAATTCTGTAAGTGTTATAAGTGTTCTCCGTTAGAAAGAGTTCATGATGTGGATCTATTAAAGTCCAGTCTCATTAGCATCGTTGTAATTTATTTGAGTCACGCATCGTCATCACACTCCACCCAACCAGCTTTTTCCATCTTGGACCCAGACAGCGTTTTGAAAAAAATCTTCTTAGCAAACGTTTGGCAAAAACTTCATCTGTTTGTTTCTTTTGCTTTTAAAACTAAATCCAACATGTATGTACCTGGTAAGTTTGGAAACGGTCCTCGCGACGGTTCGGCTGCGGTCGCTGTGGAGCCGTTAGCTGTCTGATCGACGTTTGGATGCGGTGCCACGTTTGCTGCCATTGGCTGTGGGGGTGCGCATGCGCCCTGAGTGGAGTCATCTGGAGGCGCAGGTGAAACCATATCGGCGTCCAACCCTGAAACCAAAGACAACATTTGAGTTTATAACTTTTTATTTTTATTTTAGCGTGAACTAGAAAGAAACGAACTACAATCATAGAAAGCCCGGTAACCTAAAGGTAAGTTCCTTACCGTCGAAATAGTCCAACACTTCCTCGACCGGCAAACAGTTCATGGACTTGGTATCGCCCAAATCAGGCATCATGGCGTCATCAGGCAGCATGCATGGCTCGGGCATGATGGACGGCTGCGGAGCTACAAGGGACGGAAACACCACCTGTGAATCCCTCATAAACCACCAAATGCGCGTGAAAATGAAACTGGTTGGACAGATGCATTGAACCATAACAAAAACCATGAGGAATTGCTATATGTAAATTTTGTATATAGCAAGCCAATGAAGGCATTCTGCATTCTCTTCACCGAGACGGTGGGCGATATAGGCTTCAGGTCGTCTAGTAGATCATAAAACGCTGGTCCAAGGACCTTAAAATGTAGCCAAACAGGGAGAACATTTAGCCACGGTAGAGTTGATTTGCCCGTGCCGAGAGGGAAGTGAAACCTGTTGAAACCACTCCCATGCTCAGTCAGACACTATTTTTTTTCCAAATTCTATCCGCAATCCCCTAAATTTGTATCACGTAAGCCCGGTGTTGTTACTAAGAAGACTTACGGTGGTTTGGTGGCGGCACGAGCCGATAGACCCGGAAGGCCTCCTGCGGGTCGTCTGGTTTCCCCAGGTCGGTCTGTTCCTCAAAATCTGCCAGTCTGCGCAGAGCGTTGCGCATGCGCGTCTTCCATGCCGTGGGGTCCTCTGGGTCTCCCTCCTTCCACCGACCTGTCTGCTGGGCCCAGAGCTGAGGGGGGGGGGGAGGTGTGACAGTATAGTCACTTTCAATATTATCTGCAATGCACAATTTTGTGGCGGTGTACATGTGTGTGCCTTAACGACAGAGAGTTCGGCTCGGAACCAGGAGGTCCCGAGTTCGAATCTCGGAATCAAGAGGTCCCGAGTTTGAATCCATCGTACCGATCTTGTGCCCTTGGGAAAGGCTCTTTACACGACAGGGTGTCTGCTACAGCACCAGTTACCATGGTGACAGACGTCTTGTGCAGGTCACTGACCTTAGGTGTTTAGAGAAGAAGAAGAAGAAACAGAGCCAAAGCAATATGCATTCCTTCTACGAAGGTAAACATAATCAATTTCCATACACTATGTAACAGATGCGCTTCTAGTAGCCAATAGGAAGTTACCTTGAAAATAAGCCCGTCCCTTTCCGGATCGAATCCGTCCCTTCCGGCGTGCCTCCACACAATCCGGAACAATCCGGTGGTCCGGTCTATCCACTGGACCCCCGGGACGTCTTCGGCGTCGAGATGGCTGATGTAAAAATTGCGAAGTCTTTTCCTGTCCTCCGCGCAGTGTGCCATGTTGACTTACTTAGATAGCCCTTCTGATTTACCTGTATCAAAACTGAACAGATGTAATATGAGTCGTTAGGACGGTTCCATTCAATTTCGCTGGGGAGGCCACGAGAAACTTTCATTTTCGTATTTGTCTCAACGCTACGTATTCCAATACAACTATATTTTGCCAATATATACCTGTCACGATATAAAATTGTACATTCTACCCCGTAGCTGCGGTTTCAGTTGAAAGAAAATATCTGACGCTTGGCTGAAACCACCCACACAGTGTCCTCGGCCTGGCAAAGTACCCTGGGGGCCTCATACACAAACTGTCCTGGCAGAAGATTCTGTCTGCCACGTGCACCTGTACGTCACCACGTGAATTGACCTGCCAATATAGTACATGTCTCACGTTGCGTATGCTTTCCGTGCACCCGCCCTCAATACCTTTCATCCCGAACTTCGATCTGTGGTTTACAAATATCACGATGCGTGGTGCCCCCTCCCCCTCCTGTCGCCTGACCACCCTCTCCCCACACACAGACACACACACCTCCACTAACCTCCTCCTCGCCAGACCCTTGCCTATGGAAGTTCCTAACCCCCGCCCTCAATACAACTCCTCCCCTGTCTTACAACCACCACCCCGTACCCCCTTCCCCTTTGACCCCACCACAACTAACACAGCGACTCTGTGTGTGATTACGTCATACCAGGAAGTGGCCGCATGCGTGTTTTCTTTCACCAAGCCGTACAAAACAGCCATGTACATTTCTACATACTACAGCATAACAGCACATGAGCCTGTAATGCATCCATGCTGACATGCTCAGGGACCTGACAAGAGAACGTGCAACACTTCAATGTAAAGCACATCCCGCAAGATTAACACAATAGCGATTAACTTTATCTAGAACGATCAACCGGCGAACACTTCTATTTCCCTGGTCGCCCTCCCCCTTTCGTTTTCGCAACTCGATCGGCTTGTGCACAGCGTCTGTCTATGTCTGCTAGGAGCTATTGGCATCAAGCCAAGCAAACGAACCGTGTCGTCTTGATACTGGCGTCCACTCAAACCGTTAAAGCACGCTTTTCGCAAAACTAGAGCCGTCGCCGGATCCTTGAACCACAAGGCCGTCACCCCTGACCCTCACCAGCTCTTCTTTTCATGGACAGGATTTCTGTCCCGTACAGGCTATCTCCGGAGTCACCAATCTAGACTGAGGAGTCTTATTATATCATATCATACATAACGTTAAACGCAACCAACGCTGAATGTTCAGCAACGCTGTCTACATACATCAGAAATGACACCTGTCACACCAGCCTTCAAAGTGCAAACCGTATATATATGAGCATGAGAGAAGGCATACTTACCCTCGGTGTATCTGTGTCAGTAGAAATTTGAAAGCAGCACACGCACCATGCGTCGTTATATCTCCTCGTTTATATAGCACGGAAAGTCATAGTGGCTCGGAATTACCCGAGTGACGTCAGGGGATTTCATCGCTCTGTTCACCGTACAGCAAAACGCTTTCGACGAAACCATTTCGAGTGAGGGGGGGTTACCTCGCTACATACACATTCAAAACACATTATAACGCTTTCAGGTTATCCCTCCAAGCACCAAACTTGCTGTTACTATAGATATACTATTTGGGACGACATTTGTTGTTTACTAGATCTCTGTATTGTCCTATTTAACGTTCATTGAATTTATCCCACCCCCCGATTATATAGAAGTATCGTTCATTCATGGGGATTCCCGCGCAGGCGCTATTAGGTACAAACCTAAGTCTAAGTCTTTGGGGTCATAAAAAATCCCCCGAGTTAGAACCAACATTAGACGGTGATTCAATCAATACCACGTAACAACATAACCCAACAAGACAGGTGCTCGCTACGTTTGATTAACCTTGGCCACCTTCCTGCTTTTCTTGAGCGGTTCCTTACATGGTTACTACTTTCACTTTCTCTGCGTCACTACTTCTTAATGCAGTGATCATAGATGGGGATAATGCACATACTCCATACTAGCCTTTAGCCTTACAGCTTGGGGCTTCTAGCTATAGGTTGCTACGTTTCTTCACACCATTCCTTGCACTAAGAGTGATTTCAAATTCATAGTAAGATGAAGAGATCGTTGCTAACACATTCTAAATTCACATGTCTCGTTCTTTTTCCAAGTACACAATTAGTTGTCTCCATGTCTCTCTTGTTGTTTCCATGTCTCTCTTTTTCTTTGTTTACTCTATCATGTGCACCGGCGGTGCCGGTGGTTTGTAACTAACACCGTTCTGAGACCACTAATAATCCCGAAAACCAAGGGCTAGTCGAAGAATATTTTCTCAGTTTTTCCTACTCTCGAGGACCCCACGTTTTGTACTTTTATTTTGATGAAGTTTCTTCCTGGTCATGTGCAACTTGAAATGTCGCGTACGAAAGGCAGAAGTTAACTACTTCCACCCTTTCCCCTTTCGTCTGACCTTTACCACTAGAGTCATGATGTTTTATTGGTACAAAATGTCGTCTGACCTCTGGACTCCTGTGTGCTTGCCTGCAGAAATAGTAGGAGGGGCATGAACTAAGTTCATGAGATGCAGCTCGCTAGGGGGCGCCTCGCTTGTACTAGAACCATAAATATCAAATTATCACCTCAACCATAACATAGTCCCTGTCACACATTCAGAACTTTCCCTAGACTACGACCAACCAAAGTTGGCTGCTGGTTGGGAGCAGTCTGATCAGATTATGCATTTGACTGGCCACCACGCCCCGACCACTCTCCCGACGTGCTCCCAACTACCAGCCAAACAGTCCCCAACCATGGCCCAACCTCTGGACCCGTCCCGACTCCTATATGTTTTAAACATTTTGAAACATTCGGCTGGTGCAGCCGAAAAGTAGGCAACCTCGCCGAAAATCAGCCTGGTGCAGCCGAAAAGTAGGCAACCTCGCCGAAAATCAGCCTACCTTAGTCCCGACCTACTCCCAACCATGGTTGCGGGATTTCTGCAGTGTTTGCGTCTAATGAGCGAAATGTTAGCTTATCTAAGCCTGAATCAGATAAAGTTCTGTCCTTCCTAGCTTCAAGGATTTTTGAAAAGCATCTCACATATGCCTTGACCTCGTCGAGGGTCGTTGTAGCACTATGTACTTAATGATTTGTATTAAATAAAGGGAAAACACATGTTATGGAAAACAAGCCACCTCGAATAATATTAAACTTTTATTAAGACACTATCAGACCTGTTTCAAATCTGGGGACTTTTCATATTTTTCAAGTGCTTGCTACATCTCGTATGAGTGATGCAAGAAGCTTAAGTTTATATATATATATATATAAAACAAAAACAGAACACATATGGCAAAAAGTGCATTGCAAGCTCAAAAGTAATGTAACAATGTAGAAATGTTACAACTTAAAGTACGTACCCATATATACATGTAGATCGTTTCACATATTTTCAATGATATCGATATACGACGCAACTTTTCGATGGTGTTATGTATGTGAGCACGATATCTATTTTGATAATAAAGCATTGTTTAGGAGTTTGTAAGTGTCATCACAATTATAAAGGTATACCACTCCGGTGTTGCATGTTACTAAACTGCTAACTGGTTTTTGTGTCGTTGATATTACAACACTTTTATGTTAATTATACCAATAACAAGTAAAGTATACCCTCCTTCAATTAGGTATTTTAACAAAGATCGTCAAAGTATACAGAACCAAAATTATACACCATACCTATAGTTTCAGTCTTGATTCCACATCACACATTTATCCCTATAATTTATCTTAATGATGAATCAAACCATTACATCAAATGCAGCCTTAGCAAAAAAGTGACAATAGAAAGCATTTCGCGTCATTCAAAACAAATTACAGTTCCTATAATATCAGGTGCTTGACTTGTATACTTGACTGAGTGATAAACCTTAGGAATGCTTGTATTTACAAATAAGTTTGTGGACTGACAGGCTAGGTACTGAATAAGCTCCCAGAGTACATTAGATATATACGAGATGGTGAACAAGTGTCAGAACCTAAAAGCCGTTGACCTTGACCTAAAAGTCCTTGACCTTGACGTATTCCTTGACGTCGACTGCCAGTTTGTCGAACTCGTTCGAGTTGGACACCATGGCGTCGATGCTGCGCAGTGCGTTCTGCGCATCGTGGTCAGTCGCGCCCTTGTCGACAGCCATCATCAGGTTGTGCGCAGTGCGGCTGCGCACGATGACGTAGATGGGGGTGTTCTCCAGCGGGATCTCGTCACTCCAACCCTTCCCGAAGCTGAAGATGACCTCTGACTTCGGTTTCTGCCCTCCGCTGTTTCCGTAGGCGCTCAGTTCCCTCAGGTAGTTCTGGTAGTCGAACACCAGCACCCTCTGTTCCCTCTCCAGGCGCTCTGCCTGCCGGTTACGGTTGTCGTTGCTCTTCCAGAAGACTTTGGTCTTGCAGAGGCGGGTGGCGGAGATGTTGCCGTTGTCCGTGGTCAGCACGAGCCCGCGCTCCATGTTGACGAGCAGACCCTGCACGACGTCGTCGTCCTTCTGCTTGCCGGAGGGCTGGCGCGGGGGCAGCAGGATCTGTTCCGCGTCGGCGGGGCCGTACAGGTAGGAGGACAGGGTTGGGTCCACGGTCTGTCTGAGGTTGGGCTGGTTTCGGTCGCCGAACCACAGGCGACACCCTCTCTGGTCGGTCACGTGGTGCTGGAAGACTTTCCCGGCCTTGTAGTAGATAACCTCGATGTCCAGCTCATGAGCTATAACACAATGTATAAAAAAAGTTAGAAATCATTAATGAAAGTTCATCTGTGTTGGTAGTTATACATGCTTAAAGGTCAGAGAAGCCACGTGAGAAGCCTCTCTGGGTCTACTGAGTCTACTGAGGAAGACCAGAGTGACTGGTCGAAAGCTCTAGGTGAGGACAATTATCTTTTGTATGAAAGTTTTCCCTTAAAATTGTTTTAGAGCTTAATCAAGACTATCAGCTCACCTGGGTAAATCCTGAGCTCTGGGGCGACCGCGGCGACCGGCTTGGTCGTGACGTCATCAGTCTCCATGTCCTCGTCACACGTGACCTCCGCCCCGACTGTGAGCTGGTTCATGTCCACGTTAGCCAGCTGCTGGGTCTCAATCTGTTTGAAGAATGAAATAAATTAAAACTAAATACAATGCATTACTTATTACCTTGACTTGACTTTGTTGGGGTCGAAATTTAGTATTCATATACAAGACAGTAGCTATTCTTCCTGTGGTCCATTTCTAACACACATTAGATAGTTTTCTATCCAAAATACATTGTATACAACTGTATACAAGTTATCTTACTAGTATCTAGAAGATGTTAGCATCCCGTCATTGGCGCATCCCCTGTGGCGTTGCCAAAAGACGTGCCTGGTACCAACATGGCATCGTCTACACTATCATTTCATAGATACCTCAGTTTTGTACCAGCTTGTATTCTTTTGGAAATTTGTCATTTCTTAAATCACGTATAAACGGAACCTTTATACATGCTTCAAAGCTATGCGTAGAGAATGGATTTGTGCGGTGCTGGGTGCTATAGTCTAAGAAGGGGATCTCAAAGGCAATTTACTACCTCTTATCTAAACATCTTTTATATGGTATAATAAGATAAACAAGTGTGTTTCTTACCCTGATCGGCGGGCTTGTATAGAGCGGTTCCGTGATGACAGCAGGACTTTCTGTTGTGGTGACGTCCATGGCCACCTCCTGTAAGGTGAACTGCTGCCCCTCCATACCCTGCAGCAGCTCCGCCATGGTCTGGTCTCCATCCCCGCGCCCAGGCTGGCTCAACAGGTCCTGCAGGATCTTCTGTAAGGAGTCCTCTGTATAACAAGGTAGGAAAATCCGTCAGTATGTTTTCATAATAAAAATATTGTTAGATTATAATTACACTAAATCAGTTCAGTGTTAAATTTTTGGCATCTTAGCCTCTAGAAGCGCATGGAAAGAGTAGAAATAGTAGCCCCCCACCAGGCCTTCCTACGGGGGTACGGATTATAAAAATCGTCAAAAAAGGGAAATATAATGTGTCCGTCCGCCGGGAGATGAAATCTACGGTAACCTAACTCCCCTGGCGTATTGAAAAAAATTGTTGATTTTTCGTTAATCAAAACAGCCCGGCCGGGCCCCGGTTTGGAAATGTGACTTATAGCTCAGCATAAAGAAATGGTTGCAACAATTGCTACCACTGGAATACTACTTTAGCGGACCAATTTCTCTGGCATGTCATCTGTCTATTTGGCCAATTTATACTCTTTCCAGTCGCCCCTGAAGCCTGGTAGAGGCTATTGGCATCGATCTATGCGCAGTAATTACTTCATATAATCATGGTTGTTTCGATGAAATTGAAAGTGTTGACACTACCATGAAAGTGAAAGTCTTGCCAGGACCATGAAAGTGAAAGCAGCTAGAGCTATTGACGGTTTCGACTAAAGGTTTCGACTAACATCTGTGTTCTCTTAAGCGACCTTGCAAGCCTTCCTATAAACATACACGCACACACACACACACCCACACACACACACCGTGCACTCCAATGACTTACAAAAGAGATATCTCACCTCGCACAGACGAAGTCAGTGCTGTGTCTCCAAGACTGGCTGTTGCGGTGGTGTAGGTCTGTGGGAGGATAGAAGTCAGATCGTCAATCTTCGTTTTGTCACAGTTTTATGTCCATCAATTTCGGGCTCGAAAGTTTGTTCGAACCGTTTATTTTAGCCTGACGGAACTAAATTACAAGGTGCCTGCTATTTTACAGGGAATAACTACAAAATCACTCAGCATCGAAGTTAAGCACCGTTTTGTAATGCATGTGCAGATTTGTAATACGGTTATCACTGTATGTACTTCGACTTCGACAGCACTGGCACTGATACTATAGTTGCGTGGATTTAGATAACGATCTATGGCCAATGATAGATAAGAACGTATGTCGTACAAGAAAATAACATACTTAATACATATCATAAATCCCCTTTTGCAACTAGAAGCCGCACGACTCGGGTACGACAACTGACCTGTGTCTGTGGTCCTGCGAAGGTCTGGATACGCGGGGGAGAGTTCCCCAGGCAGACTCCGCTGGTCGTCACCGCAGTGATGATCTGTTGGGGCGCAGCTGAAATTTAAGAAAAAATTGTTAAGCACAGGATATTATTGAATTCCGATACGAGCTTCATAACAGTCTACAAGTTTGATATCAGTATATGTTTGTGTAGACGCGATTTTGTAGCCATTCAGTTACCTTATTCTATCCCATTACGGTAATACTTAGTACAAAACTGTTCTTCGATCTTACTGGTAGGAACTCTCTAACTTATATGTATAGATCACATGCAGATACCGTACCGAGAGTGACGGCTTCTTCGGGACTTCGGGAATCTTCGTAACCGTCCGAGCTGTTTCCGCTGGACACACTGCCCGACCGATGCCGCTCCTTGCCATCACTTTTGACTGGAAACCAAATCAAACAAGAACATCAAATATAATCAATTAATGCAACGTTCCTCATGCAAAAGCAGGCAGATATTACAATAAAGCCCCTAACAATTTTTGTGCAAGTTTTCCGAAGAAAATTGAAGATATATTTGACTTTGTAATGTTATGCTTTAGATATGATGTTTTGCACTCCGCAAAAAATATGGCAAATCCAAACCGCCGTATACCTACAATAAAGTGTTTCGAATTCAACAATGCACAGAAATACTACATATACCTGTAAGATAAATCGTTTTAAGACTAAGAATTGTCCAAAAATTCTGAAAAAAAACAAACAAATGTAGTTCTAATGCTTACTTGGTTTGTCCGAGAAGACGTAGACCTTGTAGGGGTTGATGGGGTCTTCTGGCTGACTCTCCTTCTTCACCTCGTGAATTTTGGGGTGTTTGTTCAGGGCGCACCGCAGCCTGGTCTTCCACACAGCCGGCTCGGGCTTGTCGATCCCCGGCCGAAACTTCCCGGTGTGGACGGCCCATTCCTACAGCAAAAACACAGGCATAAACGTGGGTGAAATTGTCGATTTTGGGGCAAAAATTGCTGGTGGGTACGGCCTATTCCTACAGCAAAGAGGCAGGCATAAACGTGGGGGAAATTGTCGATTTGGGGGCAAAAATTGCTGGTAGGTACGGCCTATTCCTACAACAAAGAGGCAGGCATGAACGTGGGGGAAAATGTCGATATTTAGGGCACACATTTCTGGTGGGTACGGCCTATTCCTTCAGCGAAAACACAGGCATAAACGTGGGTGAAATTGTCGATATTGGGGCAAAAACTTCCCGGTGTGAACGGCTCATTCCTACAGCAAAGAGGCAGGCATAAACGTGGGGAAAATTGTCGATATTTAGGGCACACATTTCTGGTGGGTACGGCCTATTCCTGTAGCAAAAACACAGGCATAGACGTGGGTGAAATTGTCCATATTGGGGCAAAACTTCCCGGTGTGGACGGCTCTTTCCTACAGCAAAGAGGCAGGTTCAAATGTGAGGAAAATTGTCGATATTGGGACACAAATTGCTGGTGGGCACGGGCCATTCGAATTCCTACAGCAAAGAGGCAGGCATGAACGCGAGGGGAAATTGCCAAACATTGCTGGTGGGTACGGGCCATTGTTACCGCAAAGACACAGAAATAAACGTGGAAAAATTGTCTATACTAGGGTAGAAATTGCCAGTGTGTGCGGCTAGCAAAGGAGCAGCCATAAGTGCGGGCATAGTGGGCCGACACCTGGCGGTGTGTTGGGCCCATTTTTACCGCAAAACAGTTATAAACTTTGAAATATTCGGGCGAAACTTCTCTGTGTGTTTGCTGTAGTTCTACCCCAAAAACCACACTTGGGACAGAACGGGTTGGAATATTGTCAATATCGGGGCAAAAGGCGAAAATTGCCGGTGGATTCGGCCCATTCCTTCCGAAAAAAAACCTGACAGATAAGTTTTGCAATATTGTCTACATCTGGGCACAAATTGTCAGCGGCTACGACTGAGTTCTCGCGCAAAAACACAGACATGAACGTGGGAATATTGTCAGCATTGTGCACTAGACATGTCCACATTTCTAGCGCCAAGACACGAGCGTGCCCGTCGGCACAAGAAGAGCATTCTACCGACTGAGCACAGCGAAACTTACCGGTGTGTGCCACGAAAACGCACGCTTGAACGTCGGAATGACTCGAACATTCTATCAGACCATATCTCAGAGACAGTGCGGTAGGTCCTTTGCAGGGTACTACCAAAGTTTCGAAGTGATTTTTAAGTTTCGGTGACCAAAACGACAAAAACACGTACACGGGTATAACATGTTGGAATGACTCGAACATTCTATCAGTCCAAATCTCAGCAACAGTATGTTCTTTGACAAAGGTTTCGGAGTGATTTTTAAGTTTCGGTGACCAAAACGACAAAAACACGTACACGTTATAACACGGGTATAACATGTCATGTTGGAACGACGCGGACATTCTGTCAGACCAAACTGCAATAGCAGCATAGTATATTCGACAAAAGTTTCGGACTGATTTTTAAGTTTCGGTGACCAATACCACAAAGACACATGTAATATCAGAGCAACGCGAACATTCTGTCAGAAGATACTTGAAAAACATGCCCTGAAGTGTATAGCTAAGTCATTTCACAAAGTTTCGGTGTAATTTTAAGTTTCGGTGAGCTAGTTTCGCTGCTTTAAAAATAAGATTAGAAGGGGGCGTATGCCTTCTCAGAAGCCCTGGCTTGTTTTCGATCGTTGGGTAATCCATGATATATGTATATGAGCATGTAGGTGGGGGTTGAATAAAGTTTCGGAAGGTTGGCTGAACTTTCGGTACAACGTCACTCCGAAACTGGGGAGTTCAGTGTTACTCGGGGTCACAATGTACAGTTTTACAGTGATTTGAAAGACTGGACTTGATCCAAATCATAAATATGAAGCACTATATAAAATTCTACCTATAGTGAAGCAATTTTGCACTATAGCACAATTCTAACTCGCAGGATAGAAAGTCACTCATAAGCATAGTCTAAGCATCCAGTTGGAACTAAATCAGTGATTTTGATCCATTCAAAACGCGAGTAAAGCTCTAGTTTCTAACACTACATAGACTAAAACGTTACAATACCCTGTTACTCTGAGTAGCGACAGTATAGGGTAGGGCATATGATAGAAAGGTCACACAATCTTCCCAACAACCCTCTGTATTTCGGACAGTCTAAACCTGGCCATAACACTGTATGATATTGGCAATTTCACGTAATTCCCTAGCTATATCTATATACATTTGCAGTTTGTATACCAATATAGTACTACAGTACTGCAATCGCATTTACCACTTCCACTATGCAATGCTGTGCGATAAAATTATCAGTTGAACGCTTTTCGATAATAAAATATTTAAAATCATAATCAGAGACAGAAGCCATTGCATTTTACAAAATACGACGGTAAATAAAACCTGGAGCCCTAACTCTTTGGGGAGTGCAAGCCACGGTTACACATGTACAGTTGACTCTTCCTATGCCCTTAGATGGTAACGATCAACATGCATGTACCTGGAATAAGACTAGCTCTACACGGAAGTGTATTTTAGGGGAAGAACTGCGCAGTTAGAAAAGGATGCGTTGCAAAATCCGTACCGACCACAAAATGTCGCTTCTTACCTTAAACAGCTTGGAGTCCCGGTCCTGGTCGTACTCGTGCTTCCCGGCGTGCTTCCAAGGGATCTTGAACTTCTTGGCGGCGGCGTCGATCCACTCCACGCCCGGGACCTCCCCGCGGTCTATCATGCCGTACAGCCAGGGCCGGAGCCGGTCACGGGAGTTGTCTGGGACTGCTGCCACAGGCATGGTAGGTTCACTGGGGAGGGGAGGGGAATACGGGGATCATTTTTACAGAAATTTGTAAGATATTTTGTTGCCTGAAAATGGTAGCGTTTTGCATAGGAGTCTAGCCTGGATACCAGACCCGGGCTCGACACAATACTCCCTTCGGCTGGGGGAAGCCACAAGCCCCGAACCCAGAGTTAGCACATCGGGGTTTAATCTATCTGAGGGGTGTCTATGGTAAACTTTTCAGAGCTGAGAAACTAGACTGTACACTGCCCCTGGCAACAGTCTGGCACCCAGGCCAATAGTCTTATTAGTTTTATGTCGGCTACATTACAGTGTTTGCCGTAGTTAGTGGTGGTGCATGTACATGCCAGTGGGAGCGCAGCGGTTATCACGAGTGATTTTAGATTGTTCTACGTCAAATTTCTAAAACAGTGTATTCCAACATTAAATAGAGTATGCTAAAAGGTCTTGTTCGCGATTGGGGACAACAAAGCCAAATTCAAACGGTTGAAAACGGTGAAGTTCACAGTCCAAAATTCGAACAGCGTTACGCCGAAAACCGCCATTTTCCCAACTCAGAACGTTTCCCTGTCGCACTACCAAGACACCTGCACACTGGGCGACAATATTTTTTACGTGATCTGTACGTATGTACACTGTTAAGTACTCACTGCAGGAGTTACGAAGTTACTGAAGATTCCACGCTTAAACAATGTATATGTATATAGGCTTGCGAGAATTTCAGGCTACCAAATAACATGTCTGCCTTTTTGCGGGCACAGCGTGGCATGCATACGTGTTATACGAAAACTGAAGAATATATAACGTTAATAACAGTTACAGATAGTAGTATATTTATCATGTTTCTCCCACAATAACTATTGTGCTATTTAACACGAAGATCAGATATAGGGTTGTTATTTCTACTGCTGAGATGGATTTGTGACGGGAGAATGGCTTTTTATCTAATATGGTTTGGTAGCGTTCAGGGTTATTATTAGGCCTTTATATATGGGGCATATGATAAATATACAACACAACAAAAATCGTACTCTAGTATATGGATACTTTTATGAAAGCAAATTTGACTATTCAGTGTCGATTTTGCTGAAAATATTTCTATATACGATCTATACAATCATACAAGGTTTACATATCAAATGGGCGTGTTTCGCCTCTCTGACAACCCAGGTCATCTAGATATGTGTACATGTGGCATTCACAATGATTTCCCAAAGGAAAACCCCTCAGTATATATTCTGCGCATGGAAAGTTTGTACAAAGGTTTTAATTATTTGGCATAATCGTGTAGCAAGAAGCTAAACTGCTGGGCAAAAGGGGCATCTTAAGAATACATCAAAGCAAGGACTGGGCCGGATTATGCCTACACTCTCCTTGATTAGAATAGAACATGTAATGTGCATATGTACTGTGTATGGTTTTCCAAGGGATACTAGTACTTTTCCAAGTATTCTTGTTTCCGAATTCAACACCTTAGACTGAAATCAAATTATAACAACAAAATATCTAACCCTCTAGAACTTGATGTTGGTTTCTGAAATTGAGTTAGCGATACCGAGAGAAAACTATTTCCAACATGGCGGACAGTAAGGCACAAAGATTGTGGAGTTAGTTTATGATTACACAAAGTACGGTACTGAATCTTTCTCAGTTTTAAGATTCCAAACGTCTCACCATAACTTTGACTCAGCACAGAGTGTGTAATCAAGCTTGTACTTTGATTATTGAAACACCTGTATATTACTAGTATGTAGAACCTTGCACCTAAAGAAACAGCTGACAATTTTGAAAATTCACAAATACTGTAACAAAAAAGCCTATAAACTTAATATATGGAGCAAAAACAATGCTTGATAACTATTGAAATCGCCATATTTTAGTCGGCAAATACACTTACGACATCGAATTTATGGCTAAGCTTTCGAATTCTTCCAAGCAGTGTCTGCTATAGTTGAAATGGCGTCTGTGTTTGTGTATCATATAGTCATAATGTTTGGTGGGATCAGGTGCACAAAAATCACTCGATCGGTACTATATGTAACATAGGAACTAACATCTAACGTATACTAGAGTCTACAACCAATGATATTCGAAGCCTACTAGTATATCTGTGAACCTAACATTTGTTAGCAAATTGTCAGTTGTCAGTTGTTGAGCAAACTGTTTGCCGCTGGTGACAGTAAAGATCTAGTAGCCTCGTTGTTACATAATTTCCTTACGAATGGTGACCATGAAAAATCATCATGTAATGAATTATATATGGAAAAAAACGGGACAACAAAAACACCACAAAACCATACACTGCTACCAGTGCTGGAACATACACTTGTTCCGTTGATAAACTGTAAATTGTCGTTGTAACATTGTTGACGATAGAGCAACGTTCCTGCAGATTTATACTTAAATCACAAGTAGGGCTGACCAAGAACTGTTATTATATCAAAGGTACCGCTCCTCAATTAAAAAAAGTCGTCTACTGAAATGGAAGAAAATTTAAGACTGTATATGATAACTCCAATGTTCACTCTAAATCGCCTGCCTCCCCTTTGTTCCTTGCATATGTATCTTATATCTATCAAATGCTTATAGGTTTGAGCCATTATTAACGACATACATAGAGCTAGAGTTGTATGCTAACACAAATATCAGTATGAACTACCAATATGAAATATCAAATGCTAGCTGTACTTCAATATCCGAGGGGCATCCTTTTTTGTCGCGATTTTCAGCGACTCCATGACAGAACAAACCGTTCACAAGAATCTACGACAACCTTGCCAACACAGTAGACTTAGATTTTGCACGATTGTCCTAAAATGTTTTCCTAAGTCCGTTGTACGTGACGGATTCGACCGGCACTTAGTCACGAAATTTGGCGGGAAACCAGCGCCATGGTGCCCGCAGACGAGCAATGTCACTCCGGCGTCCCGAGAACAAAAGAACCTTGGCGTTTCGCCAGCGTTCTGTGCAAGAATCAAACCAAAGACAGACAATCGAGGCTCTTCACGTGTCTTAATGTTCTGATTTAAGTTTCTAAGACTTCTCTGGGGAGTAGAATATGTAAAATATGCTTTACTTTGACCAAAGATGGAGACACCCACAAGCGGTCAACAACACTGAACGTTTCGTCGGTGCACAAAAGAAATGAACAAAAGAAAATTACCGAACTCGAGTCGACCTTCCCGTTGCCATCTTGCTACGCTATTGATTCCACAAGACGGAGATTCTAGCGTAATTAAGGATGAGGTGCCTATCTAGTCCCAAACGACCGACGTTCTTTTTAAACGCTGTGGGACGAAAATATGGGTCACATGAGCGCAGTATGACCTTTGACCGCAACGGAAAAACTGTGGGCAAAACTAACCAAAAATGGAAAAAGAAGAATTTCAACCAATCATTACCTTACTGGATAATTTGACCAGCCGCAAGCCATTTCATCTCACTCTTGAGTTTGTCGAAAGCTTTTTAGAATCGTACACAGACCGCATTCAGTGCCACGTGTTCGTAGGTTTGAAGCTGTGAACGACTGTCACTCAGGACTACTCACCTTCAAACTATATAGTACGGTTCTTCTTCACAAAGGGGGCGGAGCATCAGTTTCTAAAACCCCAATAAAATCGATGACGTAATTGTGTTAAGTGTTCCTCTTTTTATATAGTGGCGGTTTCGCGCTTTTCTTCGGGCCTCGTGCATGAATGATCAATAAGTACACCGCACGCAAGCGAAAAAATGACGTTTCTTCTCTCTGGTATTCAAATCTAAAAAAGGATTTTTTTTGCCTTATATTCCTTCCTAGACAAAGGTAACAACCTTCCTCTTCAAACCTTAAACACAAGACTATGCGGAATGTTGAGCAGTATGTGTTTTTTCTTCAACTTGTGTCTAAGCAAAGATTGTGTGTCCTATTCCGGTTGTACAATGCAATAGTTTTGGAAAGGTTTCGAAACACATTTCCAGCTTTTGGTACTTTCTAGAAGTTTCAGTGGTGACGAACAGAAACACTAATTATGTAAATTTTAAGCTACGAATTCGTTCGTGAGCTAGTAATTCGTTTGTAGCTAGCTTGTAACTACGTTCTTTGCCGCCCATGGATTAGCGTTACAGCGAACCACCGTAAGTAATTATGCACTATACCACCACAATACAAATTAATTTTCAAATATGTATAACAAGGCATCAGAAGAGTATTGTCATCAATTTTTCGTTTTTGTAGAAGAATGGATTGTAGTTCAAACTGTAAATTCGTTGGGATTTCATCTTATCGTTATGTACTGGGTTGTCCTAAAATTTTGTATATAAATATATACCAGCCGACCACTTTCGGAAGACGTTTGGGCGAAGTGTGACCAGATTTAGGGCAGGCCTACCTACGAATCAAAACGAATTCGAGTGAAATTTGAGCCAAATTTAACCCCCGAAAACTGCCGACCTACTCTCGAACGGTTGGATGGTGTTCTTCTTACTTACAGACGAACACCAGCCATCCATGTACGTCCAAACCTCCCGACAAACCCCAGAATAGTAGCTGACCTGACCGAAAACCAGCCGACTTTGCTCCGACCTACAACCATGGTTGGGGGGAGGGTGTCCACCTAGTGCTCGGGACCTAGGCCAAATTCGTGAATGTGTGACAGGGGTTTACTGAACTGTCAGTACGCTCCTGATGGATGACAAATTGAACTTGATATTAATTTGGTACTTAAGCCACAGATGAAATATTACTTTATTTAGGATAACAATGATGATGAATGCAACGCAATTTGACGATGATTACGAACAGAAAAGCGAGCTGAAATTTTCGATATGGTGGCCTTCGAAATTCGCCAGGGAATACACGCACATTGTTCTATAATATATAATTGGTTATTGCACACTCTGGCCCTACGGCTAAATGTTTTTTCTACAATATACATGTACTTGTGACATTGTACGTACACTGAAAAGAACTCTAGAAATAGAAAGAGTGGTAACATTATTATATCTTGTTGCTAAAAAAAAGCTAACCCTTATATAGTACAGATGAAGACTTAGAACTGTCCATAACTTTCAGCTATTAAATTGTTCAACGTGTGGAAAAAATCATGATATCTAGGCTTATATCGAAGATGACAGATGTCGCAAGGACCATTGTCTGCTCCATTACCAGCAAAAATATGGCTTTATTATCGTGATCGCTCCGGGCAATGTAAGTGTTTTCAACTCAATTGAATGTCTGTATAGTCTGCGTGTATGGATGCGAGGAGACTAAGCAGGGCCGTGCCTAATTCTGGATACGATATCGATTACATTTTAGTCTTCGCGCAACACTTCCTATTTCCGCTAGATGTCGTTTCGCACTCTCAGGAGGGCAAGGCAAGCAGGTGAAGTGCATCTAGTATGATCTATGATTTTCTATTAAAATACGCAATGATAACTGAACATAATGAGCAAGGAGACACATGCACGTGAAGACAGTGTATTGTATATATTTTTAATTTCATTTAACATTTCTAATATCTTTTAACCTTCCTAGTGTCAAAGGACAATGATCCAAAGCCATCCCATGGCTACGCGCTGTTGACACTAGGCGGAAGGGTGGGGTTCTCTGCAGACCGTCCGCAAACAGAGATGTAACGTTCCACAGCTTGTACATATATACTTGGGAATGCTTGAGTTACTAGATGTGCGCCGGTGTGACCGCCTGGTGGCACCCATGTCGAAGGACAATCATGTATGCAAAACTAGAAATATTCTGAACAAGAGTTCCACGATCTCATACCTTCGGACGGATGAAAAGAGCTTGATTTATACGTGGCTGAACGCCATCGTGACCACCGTGTACTAGTAATCTCCACGCACATTATACGTAATCTCCTGGCAGATCATATGTAATCTCCTGGCAGATCATACGTAATCTCCTAGCAGATCATACGTAATCTTCAAGCAGATCCTGCGGTGGCAAAGCAGTATCCAATCGGCCCCTCAGTGTCCATTAACCACTGCTGAAAGTGGACATTGCTTGACCGCTGATTGGATACTGCCTTGCCACCGTAGATCTGCTTGGAGATTACACCGGTGGCACCCATGTACTAGTAAAAGGGCAATGGCCAAAAGACTACGGCACAGGGCAGGCAAGTTTAATAGTGGGTTGGGTGGGTGGGTGGGTTTCTCTGCACGGTTCTGCACATCCGCATGCCTTGACTGTTTGAGGCAGCCTTGACTACTGAGCGTCAAATGAAGCGCCTCCCGCGGTCAAATATTGCACTGCAGGTGTTTACTCAGGAAGCCTTCGAATTTGTGCAGAATCAATTACACAATCACACCTGGCACAGGCTTGCAGGTAAGAATGCTCCAAATGCCAAGGCTGCCTGCAAAATATGCCGACCTTTACGAGGTGTGTAACGTCTTTTGTTCGCCCCGCAATTAGTAAACACTCGGCAGGTATACGGTGGCTTCCAAGAAGCCCCCTGCTCACCACGTGACCCTATTGGCCACCTGACGCCATGACGCTGGTCTCGTCGTTATGGTAACAGCGGATCATACCAACAAGTGCAAAGGGGTGACTTCTGCCGATGACTGTATAAAAATACACTTTCTGTAGTAAACAGGTGGATTTATATTATTTAAATCTTTAAGACTTTACAAATAATGGTTGGATACTTACATATGCCATTTAAAACAAAACACAAATTTGCTCTATGTTTCACTTTTTTAAGTCAGTGCATACATCCCCTTAAATGTTTCAATGGTCCACCTGGGCTATTTTTATAACTTCCAAGGCCAGATGTCCCCACAAGAGAAGCCCCGCCCCCTCAGAGGTAAACTGTACTAGGCTAATGGAGCTACAAAGACGCCGCTAAAAGGGGAATCAGAACTGCATTTTATTGGCTAACTTATTATCAAATACTTCTGCTGCACAAAATCGATACTACAAAATGCTACATTATACATAGCACACACAGCAGACAGACGGTATTGCATATTTAACGGTACCAGTCTCATATATTCAATGCTTGCTACTTTGTTCCTAAGTTTGCCCCTATCTATATTTGCTTACTAGTATTGGGACGATAACAATGTGCATACAATAGATAAGCACAACGTACTTCTAATGGTGGTAAGATTTGTGGGCGTCAATGTTTTAATCTACAATATTGGGGCGAGAAATTAGTAGTGAGAAATAACTAGTCTAGACATAACAACTACTAGTATCTGACAGCAGACACAGGTAAATATGGCTAGGGCGGCTGTGTTTTTGATCCACAGCGGGCTTACAGGTATGAGCGCACACCGTCCCTAACTCAACATGTAACCACAAGCTAAATCTCCAACCCGCCCACCCTATTTTTGTTACAGCCGTTTCGGTTCCCGTTGTTGTTGTTCAGGCCGCGCATGATGGAAAGCAGCCAAACCGCGGGCGGCATCCGGCCTTGAACACGCCAGACGGCGGGAATTCCCGTCAGAAGGTTCCGCCGGGAATACGGGCGTGACTCACCCTTTATTTTTACCCGGTTTCACATGCTAGTTTCGCTAAATGTTCACTGCTGTCACGCACAGAATTAATACAATATATGCAATTGCGTTGTGTTATGCAATAGTGTCTAATGCAACAAACACGTTGCTAGATATGCATACATGCAGGACATACTAGTAACCAGTCTGAGTACAAATATTTCTGTGTTGTATATCCATAAAGGTATTACCAGTAGGATATTGTATGTTTATATTAAAACATACCTTGTTTTGAATGAACGATCTGAAGCTGACGCTCTGTGCTCTGTGCTCTGAAGCTGTACCTACCCAAGTGTACACAGATTGCCCACAGGTACCTTACCTGTGCATTGGCGACAATTACCGCGGGAAAATTTAAATCCCATTCACCTGGGCGAACGTCTACAACAAGGCTAGCGCATGCGCAGGAGAGGGGCTATGGCGGAGGCTTTCCGAGAAAGCACCCCCCGATATATCGCCTGCAAACACACGTGAGACCGCGCAAATATAAACAACGCCTGGCCTGGGGCGATTTGTCTGGTTCGAGCTTACCTTGGCACAGGTGACTCGCTAGGTGACCTTGACGATGCCGTTGTGTTGTTAGCGGGGTGACCGAAGCTTGTATTCGCACCGAAAAACGACGACAGGACACCACTGACCAGTTGTGATCGCAGAGTGGGTGTGTTTCCCAGCTTTTCGGTGCAGATTTTTATATAGTTGCGCTGGAAATCCCGTCAGCCAATCGCTGGGAATACCAGGCTGGGGAAATACCCTAATGAATAATTAATTAGTTTCCACGGTTTCCATACGACACAGCTACGCGCGCCGTGATTGGCCCGGCGCTGGTCACGTGGCCTACTTCCGGGTCGTGATGGGATGGTTACATATAGCACCGAAACTGGGGACGGAAAGTCCAGTTTCGGTGGGAAATATTCTATCTTTGTCAGCTAAATATGATCTATATGCTTCTCCAGGGATTTGTCAATGTTTCGTAGGTTGTCAAAAGAGGGAATAGGGCCATTACTATCCAATTTGCAAGACGTAAACACATATTTTCGACAAGTCTTACTAGTATTCTGACTGTGTGACATGGTACGTGTGAGCCTTCTATATGCTTTACTTCTCTTCTGTCATTATGTCATTGCCTGACAAACCCCAACCCAACTCATCACAACCCAGCACAACATTATTATATCATGCTAGATTTGACAGGTAATGTTATATGTATAGCGTTCATGGCTACATGGCTAACAGGGTGGATATGTGTTTATAAGCCCCAGGATTTTATGGTGTACATCAACATAGCATAAAAATCGTACCCTTTCCATAAATCGTACCCTCTGCAAATAATCTATGTACAATAAAATTCTAATCGATTCAGAGCATGTTGTACTGTGGTAACATGTACGTGACTGCTGTCATGCGATAGAACATTGTTTATTTATGTAGTTACTCAGAATTGCATGCGACAGATTCAATGCAGTGGTTCATATGCAGGCAGCCAAGCTTATGTACTTATGAGCACCACGTTTAACAAAATATCTGTATACAGACATACACATATAACTTGCATACAACTTGACTTAATCAATATTAAATCTTAGCAAATGAAATTATTATCAAAGCTTGTCAACTAAAGTTACAGTTTTTCGGAGGACAGAGTTTATGTTGAGGAGGGTATGTTTTGTATATATAATATAGTACATGTAGGCTATGTAGCAGGAATGACCTGATGGGAGGTTGTATGTAATGTAGGTTTAAATTGTTTAATTGACTGACGGGTGAGAAACAATGAAGGTAGTCAAATTGAATAAGTTGCACATAATCTTTCAGCTGGGTTTATTGGAAGCCATGGTATAAATGTCAGAGATCCCTCCTCTGTTTAGCTTCACGTCAACATTGTGTAGAGATTTGTTGCACTTTAATAGCTTGTGTTACGTGTTGTATTTAATAGGCCAGACTGTGTTGAACAGCTAGTAGTCTGAGACCCGATTCGCTGCACGTAAACATGGCATATCGGTTTCCCCCACACTTCCCCATCTCTGTGTACACAGCACGGCAGCGTATGCAGGTCAATAGGTTAAAAGTTCGTGGCTTTCTAACGCCTGTATGCTTTTCCTCCAGCGCTAGCAGCGCCACCCGGCGGTTTGGGACAGCAGTGTACCCTATTGTTTCTATTAAGATATTAGTTTAATAGATCCCTCATCTGTTTTCCCTCATCCCTCATCTATTATGACTTCAACTAGCTATGTCACAACAGTCGCAGCCAAGGCTGAATTGATGAAGTGATACGCCACATTGCAAATTTTTACATTGCAATAACAAACAATATGGCTACCTGTCAAATAGAAAGCAATATGTATCCAGTGGAAACTTAATTTCTTCCCAGAAAAAAAAATAACTTGCGGTGTCCCCCAAGGATCTATCATCGACCCCTTTTATTCTTGATCTATGTAATTGACCTAGCCTTGGTATCAGACAAACTTTTCCATTTATAATATTATTTGCAGACGACACAACCCACTTCATGGGGGTGAGTAAAATAATTTCAGTTTTGGGACCTTTACACTAAACCATATTTGTAAATGGTGATTTTAATATCGGTTTCTACCAGTCACACACGTTTGCGGTGATGCTCGTATTTGACCTAAATCGGACCTATGGTGTAATATAGCCAGCTGCCGCGTGCCTGCGAAGCTGGTGTGTTACGCCGAAAGGCGGTTATACCGGCTATACAGATACAGATACAGATATGACGTCATCTATCAGAGCGCGCGCCATTTTTTCTGTGCAGTATGCCGCGTTGTGCATGTGCAGGGCCCAATACTAGTATTTACGACAAATAAACAAACGTGCTAAATATGTAACGTTAGCTATTTTTTCTTGTGACTAAAAATATTTTAATGAGCTGGAAATTATTTTACAAAACGTACTTAAAGGTGGAATTATGCTGGCAGCGTATCGCGCGTACGCAGGTCAATAGGTTAAAACTTTTAATAAAAGTTCATGGCTTTGTAACGTGCCCGCCCCCGTCTCCAGCGCTAGCAGCGCCACCCGGGGGTTTGGGACAGCATATCTATTAAATATATTATGAAATTATTAGTTATGTATGGTTTATTATGACATGAACTTTATCGACAGTCGCAGCCCGAAGTGATATTACAGAGTTTAAAGGGCAGAAGCCACTCCAAGACGACTTAGCTGTATTGTATGTGCCTATGGTATTATTAATCAGAAACTCTGTTCGTTTACGGAATATTTACGCGGTTCGCCCATTTTATACACAATTTGAACGCCCCGCCACTAGAAAATCTATTCCCCGCTCGACTAGCTTCCGGGTACGCAAGCAACCGGAAATGACGCATCACGAGGGAACATGATCCAGCTTGTTTCAGCCTGAACGCTTGGCAGCCATATTTGTTTTGCTTGTTTGCACGTTTGGCCGAAAGTTTGTACAATCGTAGAGGTATAGAAAGGACAGGAGAACGTTTGGTAAACGCAGTTATCTGGGGGTGTGTTTGTCAACATGCCTAACCAGTGTGTGGCAGCGAACTGCACGAACAAGAGGGCGGATGGCTTTAGCCTTTTCCAGATGCCATCGGACGAAAATCTGCGGGCGAAGTGGATTCAGCAAATTCGCCGTACAAGATCTGGCCCGAACGGAAAGCTGTGGAACCCAACCAAGAACTCGTTTTTGTGCTGTGCACACTTCACAGAGGACTGCTTCAACCCTGTCTCAAAGTTGAAGCAACAGTTCGGGATTGAGATGAAACAGCACAAGAAGTTCTTGTTGCCCGGGGCTGTTCCAAGTATCTTTCCCCGTGCCCGAGGCACAGAGTCAGAGGCGAGCACGGCGCAGCCTAAAAAGCGCAGGAAATCTGGTGCAGTTGAGAAAAGGCGCAGAATTGAGGTGGGTTTTTAGGATTTTTATTTAAATTGTCGTCTGAGTGGGATAAATAGATAAATATTTGTCAGTAGCGAACATTCATTCATTTCCCGCATGGAATGTTTCGCTAGGCTGCTAACACGGGGACTCTACTCTTTCAAAACAAAATGTTTCACGACAAATAATGTTAGTTACTCAAACACTGACGTCTTCTACGAAAGACACTATAAAGTAGTCAAATTTCGGAGCAGGTAAGTCGGGAAAAATGTTCATAAATATGATAAATGGCGGCTGGGACATGTGTATAACGTTACATGTATGTGGGGAGGGGGGGGCGCGGAAATGCAAAGATGAAGTTCGTGCGTTTTTGCTTAGCTATGCCGTGGCAGTCGACAACATAACAGTAGTGATTTTTTTTTTACATGCATGATTTTCTTCCCATGTTGTGTCGAGAATTTTGGAATGAAAATAAAATGCTTGGCATTAGGAGAAGAAGAAGAAGAAGATTATTTATGGAAAATGCAGGGCACCAGATCTGGCTAAGTTCCTATGCTTGTCACTTGCTAAGGTAGGGGTAGATATACAAAAATAAATCATGATTATATTGTTGAGACTGTAATGCCGTATTTATTTGATTATATTGAACACCAAAATATATGAGCGTGTAAATAAAAAAATTGTATGTAAATGCTATGACGTCAGCACATGGGTACAGTAGATATTGATTTATGCTGTCTTTATTACATATACCAGATACTTGGGGAATGTATGAATCAGCACCAAGAGTCTTCTGCTGATACAGAAGAGAGGGGAGATGGTGCAGGCTCTCTTGAAGAAAGTGATGGTGGCGTGCCTGTTGATGTAAGTGTTGACATCTATCACATGTATCAGTTATCAACAATCTATTGCATTTTCTCTTTTGTAATTGATCATAGGAATTTATACCGATGTACTACTTGTGTGTACATTTGTAGGTAAACCCAACAGAATTGCAGAAACTAGTAAAATAACTAGTAGAATAAGTAGTAAAAGCTATTTTTTTTTAAAGTCTGTTATGAACGGAGTCACATGTCATATATCATTATATGCCAACGCTGGCTTGGCTGAGTGCGTAACGAAAAGCGTACATGTACTTTGAAAAGCTGCATGCATAGATTTAGACTTCATTTCTATATATTTGGGATTACATAACTTCAATGTAAAATTTGACATCTTTATCAATTTCGCATACTTTAATATCAGCAAGACATAAACACTTAATTGCATTATGTTATTCCAAAGGAAAATAAATTGTTAGACACTGCTAATTGATTGATTGATTGTCCACTCTTTCAGCTCATCAGAGAGTTGCTCCGGCCAGTGGCTCAGGAGCAGACTGGCCAAAGCAGGACACCAGTCACACGGCAGACAGTCAAGGAAGAAGATGACCAAGAGAAAAACCTTTGCAACAGTGAGAACAACACTACAGTATCCCAGCTGATCTCCAATGCAGCTGCAATTCACACCAAACAGGAGCCATTTGATGAACTAGAGAAGGACTTTGTGAATTGCTGCAACAGGAATGCACAACTGTTGAATGATGTTTGTGGGACAGTTGGTACAGATGCTGTCAAGGAAAATGAACAACCAATGGACTTTGATAACTGTTACAACACCAGTACATCAGCTCAGTTGAGTTGTAGTACAGCTGGCATTGAGGTTAAGAAGGAAAGTGCCCTAGGGATGACTCTTGGTAACTATTACAACACTGTTACATCTCAGCCAAGTTGTAGTACAGTTGTTACATCTCAGCCAAGTTGTAGTACAGTTGTTACATCTCAGCCAAGTTGTAGTACAGTTGTTACATCTCAGCCAAGTTGTAGTACAGTTGTTACATCTCAGCCAAGTTGTAGTACAGTTGTTACATCTCAGCCAAGTTGTAGTACAGTTGTTACATCTCAGCCAAGTTGTAGTACAGTTGTTACATCTCAGCCAAGTTGTAGTACAGTTGTTACATCTCAGCCAAGTTGTAGTACAGTTGTTACAACTCATCTTAGTTCAACTTCTAATTCAGTTGTTACATCTCAGGTGAGTTCTAGTACAGTTGTTACAACTCAGCTGAGTTCTAGTACAGTTGATACCAGTGTTAAACAGGAAGGTGAGCAAAAGGTGGACCTTAATAATTGTTATACCAGCACATCATCTTGTGACACAGTTGCGGCTAACAATACACAGGAACACAACAGGGAAACAAATATTGGTAGCAGTACATGTGACAAAAGTGAATTAGATGGAACAACTCAATTGGCTTCTAATGTGAGCCTTGCTTTAGTCCAATCTTTCCATATATACTGCGTACCACCAAATGCTACCGAACAACCATCCAACATTCCTAGTGTTGCGACCAAAAAGCCTGCAAAATCAAAACGACCTGCAAAATCAAAACAAGTTGCAAAATACAAGGAGGAATGTGTACCAGTACAGGTAGATTACGTGGGGACTGGCCATGCAGCTGCTAATACCAGTCAAGATTCGAATGGTGCAGCAGCGAATCCTGAGCTGATTTTAGTGCCAATGGTTCTGTACAAACCAAGCTCTTCAAATGGTACAAGCCAGGTTTCAGAAGAAAGTACATGTACTAGAAACAAGCTGCAGCTACCAAAACCAGAACAAAGTTCAAAACGAGATGGTTTGAAGATGGACGATGGTAATTCTAGCATCAATGACAGTACATCTCCTCAACACAAATGGAAAATAGTTAAACATACTGACAGTGAGGTAGAGAATGATCTCAGTAGCAGAAACAACATTGCAGATGCAAAGGAGGAAGATGTATTAGAAGACGAAGATGACTTTGAAGTAAGCGAAGAAGAATTGTCATCCTCAGAAGATGAGAAAAAAGGTCACAAAAGCGACAGTTCCTGGCACATGTCTTCAGAAGAAGAGCAACTGTTTGGTGACAGTGACGATTCCGTGTCTTCCTGCGACAGCGACCGGTCGGAAAAGATCGAACGTCAAAAGAAAAATGAGAGACAAAGAACATTGAGGAAAATGAAGACATCCTGGGTGTGCAAGTGTGGGGAAAAGTTTCCCAGTAATAGTTTATATTACAAACACAAGCTCGACGCCCATCCAGTACCATGTCAACATTGTGATGAAAAGTTTACGTCAACACTAACACTAGAGAAGCATCTGAAAACACACATGCCAAGCGAGGACAAACTGGACTTGAAAGGTAACAAGCTGTTCATGTGTGACCATTGCGGACGCTTCTTCACGAGGAAGGCAATGAAGAGGCACGAGATTCAAATCAGCGACGCAAGACCGTACAAATGTGAGGTGGAAAACTGCAAGTCTACTTTTAAAACGAGGGGAGCCTTGAGACATCATGTCAGAGAAGTCCACGAGAAAGACCGTTTCCCCTGCCCGTATGAAGGGTGTAAGAAAACATTTGGTGCGAAGGCAAAGATGTTAGTACACTATAAAGTGCACACAGATGAACGCAGCTACCAGTGTTCGTATTGCGGTAAGATGTTCCAGAGGACAGATCATCTTAGGGTGCACATGAGGATTCACACGGGAGACACACCGTTTAACTGTGCTCTGTGCAACTACAGCGGACGGCAGTCCAACTCTCTCAGGTCCCACATGAAAGTCCACCATCCTGAACACTGCAAAAAGAAAAGGTCTGGCGATAAAAAAGGTGCAAAACCTGGGAAGAAACCAAGGAAGAAAGCAATGTTGGAGAAGGATAGTTTGGCAGACAAAGCTCCAGGAAGTGCTAAAAAGACTGCACCTTATTCTACACGATCTCTACATGACAGAAAAGGTGCAAAACCTGGGAAGAAACCAAGGAAGAAAGCAATGTTGGAGAAGGATGGTTTGGCAGACAAAGCCCCAGTAAGTACTAAAAAGACTGCTAGACAATCTCGGTCTCACAGGGCAAAGTAGAAACTATTTGATTAGAGCAACAGGAACAGATGGTGCATTGTTCAAGTTGCTAAATCTTAATGCAATATGTACATTCATGTATATATGTGAAGTTTTAGTGAGAGTCCCAAGAACCTGTTTGTTGTTACAAGTTACTGTGCTAGTTGACAAAGTTGGTCATATTTTCTCAGGGAGACAATGTTGTCTGATTTTGCAAACAGTCCCCATTTAGAGACAAGGAACTTTTGAATGTGTAATACTTGAACTTTTCATGTTGCTTGTTGGTGGAAGGTGTAAATGGGGAAAACAACTTGTGTTCAGAAGTACATGTATGTATAATTGCATACAAAGAGTTCTGCAATATACCTTAATATATCTAATGCCAGTACTGCAGGGACCATAACTCTGGCATTCCATCTGTAACTTGTTCTAGTTTTTGGTGTAAAGTTCATCAGTTTTGTTATTTTTGGTTTTAATGTTGGCAAATTCCATAATAACCATGTGAGCAACAGTTCAGGGTGCATTCATTTGGTTATAGGTTCAGCTTTACTTAGCTTAGCTAACTGTATGAGCAATGTAAGTCTAGGTAATGTCACTTAGGCCATGTTGATTTGATTATATGGATGACATCCTCTGGGAACCCCAAAATTGATGCGCGCGTGCGAATAAAAAAAAAGTTTTGCAAAAAAAAAAAAAAAGTTGCTTTCACTATGAAATCTACGTGGTCATGAAGGTTGAACAAATGGCACAGAATATGTTGTCTACTGTTCGAATTCATTTCTTTACATTTTTGTCTTTTTTCCTTAAAGTTTGATTTTGGCATTCTACGACATTGGTATCGTTTCTAAATGTTTTCCTTGCAACTTATGGTATATTTTTGCTCATTTAGCAACTGTTTTGCACGATTTACAGTATGGTTGAAAACTTTTTTTTTTTTTTGAAACGGCGGAAAATTCATGCGCGCGTGGATGTCATCCATATAATCAAATCAACATGGCCTTACTGCGGATTAATAGCATCTCCTAGCAGATATTGGGGGTACTCCATCAATTACTTCCTCGGTAGTGTAGTGATCATTCCTAGTATCCATTATCTTGTTGGCAACTAAGTCCTGAGATTTTGGACTAATAAAAATCACACAGATGGATCCAGTGTTTAGTTTCTTTTAATCTCCACTCACATCATCTGTATATTTGAAGCAATGAATAAGTGTGTAAAGTAAATGTACATATTGTGAAAATGGAAGAAATCAAAGTATTAACAGACAGTCGTATTACATAGAACGATTGTTGCAATTTGCGCAAATATACAGAAAGATAATCACATATATGTACAACATCTATAAATAAAGATGCCTAATACTAGCTGACACTAGCTTCCTAATCTTGGCCTGTCCTGTTGGTTAAACCATAGAGGTAGAAAAAAGAGATGGTTAAACCTACACCTAGAAATTTAGAATAATAAGACCCAGTGTTGTAGCCAGCATCTGTTTTCCCCCCATTTATCGGAATTTCGCTGGTCATGACTGACAAAATTTTTTGCCCAAATGGTCATCTTTGATGGAGAAAAAAATTTCATTTTAAGATATGGAAAGAGATGGCATTTAACTAAGCTTGGTCTCCCAGCAAAATCTAGCCCTCAAAATACAGGAAATAGCATTTCTAAATTTTCCTGGACCCCCTAGGATTGTCACACCACTGTCAAAGTTGAAATGACGTACAAAATTTCTAGCTGGCTAGAACACTGGCCTATAAATTTATATATAGTGTCATGATTATGGGACTAATTACAAATCAAAATTACCTAGTAAGTTATTCACATGAGTGCAAACACTATTACATTGCAGTAGACTAAGTCTTATAAACTATAGTTTATACAGTTGTGGTCTTCTTCGCCATCTGTAAGGACCGGAACAGTTGTTTCAGCTGCTTCTCTCTGTCATTGAAACAACCTGCAGGGAAAAGGACAGAGAAGCAAAACTTTTAAAGCAGATGCACATATACTGGTATTCTTTGTATCTTAAAACTTATGCAAACTTCTAACAAAAATTATGTTTCATAGAAGTGAACACTGAATAAGTG